GCTCGGGCTCGCCGTCGTCTCCACTGCCTCCTCCTCCTCCTCCTCCTCCTCCTCCCCTCCTCCTCCTCTCTCCCTCCTTCCTCCCCTCCTCCTCCTCCTCCTCCCCTCCCCCTCCTCCTCCTCCTCCCACCTCCTCCTCATCCTCCTCCTCCGCCTCCTTCTCCTCCTCCTCCTCCTCTGCCTGTGCTCGTCTCTGAGTGCGCTGCCTGCCTCAGTCGCACGCTCGCAGTGCCCTTCTGCTCGCGCTGGTAAAAGGGATGCGGCGAGAACGAGACCTCGCTGCAGTCAGTCCTTCCCGGAACCCCGGAGACGCTCAACCAGTTCGCGTCGCATGCCTCAGGGGCGGCCAAGAAGGGGGTGATGAATACGGGGGGGGGATGTCATGGCGTGGGCATGATATTTCCCGAGATTTCATGGCGCCTCTTCTTATTTCATTACGTCCTTGGCCCCCCCCCCTGGGCCGCGCACATGCCCCTGGCCATGATGTGCCCCCCCCCCTCTTGGATGCCCCCCTCCCGGCCGCTCCCGAATATCGGTTGTGGCGTAGAGCATGCGTACACGCGCGAGGGCGATCGACGGCGCGACTTTCCGTTTCACGAATCTTGGGTGCGATGGGGGAGGAGCGCGTCGAGGCGCGCGACCGTGGGCACGGCACAGTACTGTGTGCCTGGTTCGAGATCGTAGGGTGTTGGCGCGCATGTTGTGTGGATAGGTCGAGGTAGGAGGAGGGGTACGAGTTGGGCAGGAGGGAGAGCTGGAGGAGACGTTAATCTATCCAGCCCGTTCGAGTGAGCGAATCAGCTGGCCCCGCCCACCCCCACCCCCCTCCCATGAATAATGCCAATGCTGGCGCAACAGAATATTGGGACTGGCGCATGCTCCCACCTGGCGAACGGAGGTGGCTCGCGCGCCGCCATTCTTCCGACGACGTGGCGGGGGGAACACGCTACGCACCGGCGGCGGCAGACACTCCACAGCATACTCGAGACACATTCGGGGAGGCCCGGAGACCCTACGGGAGATCATGCGGGAGTCCATGCGGGAGACCACGCGGAATATCGCACGGCAGACCAGACGGAAGACCATGCGGGAGACCACGCGGGAGACCATTCCACACCAGAGACCACACAGGAATGCATGGGCCGCCAGCCGCACAGGTGGAGGCACGCACGGGCCTCGCACAGGCGGAGTCCGCGCACAGGCCCCATAGGATGCCGAGCCGTGGCCGCGCACGGGCGGACGCAGACTCCTCGGACGGCTCCTGCGGGGCAGTGCCGAGCGCACGAGACGGCCCCCTCGCGCGCGGCCACCACGTCCGATGGGAGCGGGGACGGCAAAAATGGGGGGCCACATGCGAACCCTACCCCTAACCCCCACGATTTCTGAGGGGGAGGGTGGGGTTCACTTCGCTCGGGCTGCCTGCCTGCCTGTCTGCTTCGCCTCCCCCTCGGCCTCGTGCAGGCGTGCGCATCGCCCGCCGTCTCTATCACGGGCCACGGGAGCTACGCTGAAGTCGGGCCTGTCCCTCCACAGGAGGAGCATTCAAACATAGTTATATACAACAAAGTACGGGGACGATTTTCTATTATGGTTTAACATATTTTCCCATTTGGGGATATTTTTCCGGTATTTGTCCTTTCTCGTCCCAAATCCGCCTGTAAGGGGACATGCCCGACCTAAGGGCACTACGCTGCGAGCTTGCCAGTTCGCAGGTCGGCTCGCGTGGTGTTTCCAGAATGCCTCGCGGCCTTTCGTGCCACATGTTCGAGGCTGCCGCGGTCCATCGAGGGGTGGCGCACGAGCCCGAGGCAGGCCGCGTTTGCACAGGACGACGTACATGCAGTCACACGCTTCGGAGCTGTCTGGGCGAAGCCTGAGTCGATCCAAGGTCTGTTGGGCGACGAAGCGACTTGGCGGTCGTATTTCAAACCTTGGTGCAGTATTCTTTGACTGCTCTGCCTCTTTCCCTCGTCTCCCTTCCCCTCCCCCCCGCTCCCTCCCTTTCCCTCCCCCTCCCCCCTTCCCAGGCTGTCTGCTGTCTTCCGCATCTTGCCCATGGTCTGCCATCGAGCCGCCTGCAGTGCAGTCGACTATTGAAGAGGCCTGACGGCCGGTGCCGCCGACCCTGATCGAAAGGGCTAGGAGTGGGGGGAGGAAGCGGAGGAGGAGGAGGAGGAGGAAGAGGAGGAGGAGGAGGAGGAGGAGGATGATGAGGAGGAGGAGGAGGAGGAGGAGGAGGAGGAGAGGGCCTGCAGTGCAGTCGACTATTCAACACGTCCTTGCTTCGTCTGCATGTGCTGCTTGTGCCCCGCGCGCCGGCGCCTGCCGCAACGGACCCTGCCACTGCGCCTCCTGGGCGCGGCTGCTGTCTGCCCGTCCGTCACCACCCACCAAACCACCCCAACCCAACCCGAAGGCCTCAATTTACCCTCCATTTCCAGTGGGGGGGGGGTCCAGGAGCATCGAAAAAACACATATGGAGCCCATACCCCCCCCAACCCGAAATTCGGGTCTTCGGGTTGGGTTGGGGTGGTCTGGTAGGTAGTCAGGCCGTCGCGGTGCGTCGGACGTCAGTCGTTGCGCCGCTCCCGCCTCCCCCCCTCCTCCGCGAAGCAGTTTCGGGCGACGTCCACGCGGCCCCTGGGCGGAAGCAGCATGGAGCCCGCTCGCGCCGGGCCGCGCTTCCGCTTCCGGACGACCCTGCGAGCGAAAGGGTACGGCAGAGGGGAACAATTCGTGGACCCTCCCCCGTTTCCCCCCAAAAGCTCAAAGTTGGCACGCGCGGGACAGGCTGCAGTCGAAGTGCAGCTCGTTCAGCCCACCAGAAACATTGATCATGGGGGTGGGGGAGCATGGACAGATCAATGCTGCATGCTTTCGCCAATGTCTTCCGAGGCCTGTACGTTCGGATGCAACTCCTGGGAGGTCAAATTTTGATTTTGCCCTGGTTCAAAATCCGGTTTAATCTGGCTTACTCCGGCTTGATCCCGCTTAATCTGGTTTAAGCTGCGTAATCCCGCTTAGTCCGGCTCCATCCTGCTTAGTCCCAGGCCCACTCCGGCACAACAGCTCCCAACTGGGGCTATAAATCCTCCTTACTCTTTCCGGCGAGAACCTCCCAGTAGCTGCTTCCTACTGCACGGGCCGCGCCAGTGCGGCAGCGCCTCCTGCCCTGGCATCGCTCGGACGTGTGCACTCTTCCTTCGGCGAGGGCCCTCGAGGAGCATCCTTGATCACCCGGCGAAGACACCGCGCACGGAACCGAACAAAAGCACAGGGAATGGACGTCCGAGCGCTGGCGAGTTGCAGTCGAGGCCCGCGCCGCGCCTCGCGCGCGAGCGCCGCCCCTTGGCGCCGCGGGCGCGCGCGGCCCCGCCTCGAGCCGACGACGACCCCCGGGCGAGCGAGAGCGCGGAGCGCGCGCCGCGGCCCCGGAGCGGGAGCGGCGCCGCTCTCTCGGACGAGGTGGGCGCGGCGCTCGGGCGGGAGCTTTGCATCTCTCAGGAGGGGAAAAAACACACAGACACAATGAATCGTCGATCCCCCAAAAGAAAATATGGGAACATATGGGCAGTGTGTGGGGGGGGGGGAAGACGAAAACCCCCAATATATATATATATATAGGAAAATATGGGGGATATTTTTATTTGTGTGCATTTGTTTGTGTGTCCTGGGGCCCCTGAAGCTGCAGCCCGCCCGCTCGCGCGCCGCCGCGCGGCCGACGCATCGGCGAGCGGCCGGCGTGCTCCGCGCTCCCCCGGTCCCCAGCCACCAAGCCACCCCCAATCCCAACCCGAAGGTCCAAATGTGCCCTCGATTTCCAGTGGCGGGGGGGGGGGTCGTCAGGAGCGAAAGAAGGACGTACATGTACATGAGTCCACGCTGGTTTCGAGAGTACGCATTGCGCAAATGTTCGTACAACGCGGCCGGTCTCGCGGATCGAGGGGCCGTGTTCATGTACATAGCTGGGCGCGTACGTCCTTTGTGGGCTCCCTAGGTCGGGGGACATCGAGAAAACACACATGGAAACCGTACTTACCCCCCCAAACCCGAAGTTCGGGTCGAATCCGGATCTTCGGGTTGGGTTGGGGTGGTCTGGTAGGTAGTCAATCGGGGAAGCACGGTTCGCGGGAAGTCTTCCGCGGCGCTGGGGCGGGAGCGGCTTGTCGGTCTGTCGCGCGCCAACGTGCGCGGTGCCCCGCTTCCGCGACGCGTTGTGCAACAATCGGCGACGCGACGTCCAGGCCGAAGTGGAAATCCTTGGCTCGGTGTTTCTGTAACTGGGTAGGATGGAACTGTCCGGGTGTGATCCCCATCGGACGGCAGCTAGGTGGCCAGGTAACAGAAAGCGTATACAACAGAAGCGGATAGGGATGTGAAGCCGAGGAGGAGGAGGAAGTCCTGCGACCGAACCTCACCCTTGCGGGTTCAATCGCCGCTGGGGTATCAGGACACCCCCGGGGGGGCTCATTGGCTGCGTACGTCTGTCATATGAGCCCCAGCCGGGTCCATTTTCACCACCCCCAGGGGTCCCAGGACATCGGTTCCCCAGGCTGTGTGAGTATGCATGGGTTCTCGCCTCGCATAACAGTCTTCGGAAGAGCAGTACGTTTGTTGCTTCTGCCCGTGAGGTGACATTGCTCGAGTGCCGCTGGCCAGGCCTGGTAACCGTACGCACGCGCGGGTCTCTTCATTGTGTTCCTTTCTTGCCGCCCTCCCTTCACAACTTCAACGTCTAACAGCGTTGTATGCAGACCTGCATTTCTGCAGGCAGATTTGTTGCTCGAGGACTGCTGTCACGTTCGATGGTCGCCGCGAGCTTGGGGAAGCGGTCCGGCGAGCCCCTCTGTGTGCTTCGCACGCGTTTGCTGTGGTGGAGGCAGGGAGGAGTCTTCGGAATAGAGTGGGGGCGCGCCTCAAGAAACCATCTGATTTTCGCTTCGTTCTGCGCGGTGACTTCCCGCGGCCGTCAATGAAGCTGATTCGTTCAGGATGCTCGGGTTTTTCCCTCAGGCGCACCTCGCGCGCGGGTTTCCAGGGTTGGGGCTTTCCTGCGAGGGTCTCTTGCGACCGCGCCCGCACTGCATGAGCAGCGCGCGGACTCGCGCTGTGCGCAGGCCACCCGACGGAGTTCGTGATCGTGCTGCTTCGGCGCGCCCCCCCCCCCCCCCCCCCCGAGGAGGAGGAGGAGAGGAGGAGGAGGAGGAGGAGGAGGAGGAGGAGGAGGAGGAAGAGGAGGAGGAGGTGGGAGGAGGTGGAGGAGGTGGGAGGAGGAGGAGGAGGAGGTGGGAGGAGGAGGAGGGGAGGTGGAGGAGGAGGAGAAGGAGGAGGGGGGTGCTGCGAGTGGGGGCGACCCCGCGCCCGCCGTCGGCCCCCCCTCGCGCGGCGGCTCGCGGGCGGGGGTCCGCGGTGCAGGGGGCGGGCTCGTGGGCGGAGTGGGGCGGGCGGGATGCAGGAGGAGGAGCGAGCGGAGGCTGCGGGGGGGAGGGCGAAGGAAGGCGCGGAAGGGGAGGAGGGAGGAAGGGGAGGGAGGAGGGAGGAAGGACGGAGGAGGAGGAGGAGGACGAGGAGGAGGAGGGTGAGAAGGAGGGAGGAGGAGGATGTGGAGGAGGAGGACGAGGAGGAGAACGAAGGAGGAGGGTAAGCAGGAGGAGGAGGAGGAGGAAGAGGAGGAGGAGGGAGGAAGTAGAGGAGGAGGAGGAGGAGGACGAGGAGGAGGAGGAGGAGGAGGTGGAGGGACGAGGAGGAGGACCAGTGTAAACCAAAGTGTCATCACCGATGTTGGAGTAAGCCCTTCGTCCAAGCTCCCGCTTCATAGGCCCTGCAACGGTTCATTTCCATTGATGGAATTGCCTCGTTGGAAAACACTTGTTTGAAGACCCTGAAGCATGGCATGACATTGGTCGCGGGATTCCAACGCCACGGATCAACCTGACTGTTGCGTCTGGACGGTCCTGAACCGTACCAGAATTCAACGTAATTGTTGCACCCGCATCGTCCTGAATCCTTCCAAACTATCAGTTGTGGTACGTTGATGATGGGAACCAGTGAAACTCATGTAAATGCTTAAAACAAATGTGCGCGGCGCCCAGGCGAGATCCACATTTTGAAAACGACCCGCCCTCAATGTGTGAAGCTCTTGCAACTTTTGAATGCGAATGTGCGCCGCGCTAATGCGAGAGCCACATGTTGAAAAGGAGCCGCCTTCGATCCGTGAAGTTCTAGCAATTTTCAAAACAGAATGTGCGCCGCGCAAATGCAAGAGCCACATTTTGGAAAAGGAGCCGCCTTCAATCCGTGAAACTGTTGCAAATGTTTAACACGAATGCGCGGCGCGCTTAGGCGAGAGCAACATTTTGAAAGCCACCCGCCCTCAATGCGTGAAGCCCTTGCAAATGTTTAAAGCGAGTGTGCGTCGCGCTATAGCGAGAACTACATTTTGAAAACCACCCGCCTTCACTCCGTGAAACTCTTGCGTTGTTTCTGTGTTTGTGCGCCGCGCTCATGCGAGAGCCACATTTCGAAAACCTCCCGCACTCCATCTGTGAAGCTGTTGTCAATTTTAAACTTGAGAGTCGTAAATGGTGAGGCAGTCTCAGGCGAAACGCCCGGACCGCTCTAAAAAATTGCCTCGGGGTGCGACTGGGAGAAGTAATTTATAAGGAAAAGGAAGAAAGGAGGAGGAGGAGGAGGAGGTGGGAGGAGGAGGAGGAGGAGGATGAGGAGGAGGAGGAGGAGGAGTAGGAGGAGGAGGAAGGAGGAGGAGGAGGCTGCTGCGAGTGGGGTCCGCGGTCGGGCGCGCGCCGCTGCCGCGGGCGGAGGCCCGAGGTTCCGCCCTCCTGCGGAGGACTCTTCGGCGCGCCCCGGCGAAGCCGCGGCTGCAAGGCCTGGCGCCTGTCGCCGTCGGCATCGGTGGTCGCAAGGCCGCCGTGGCAGATCCCCAACTACGTTTAAGTCGGGCATGTCCCTCTACAGTAGTCAAGAACTCGTCTGGGGAGTTTTTTAAAATAAAAAATTAAGCATATATATATATATATATATATATATATATACGTCGAGATATATCGATTTTTGTTTGGGAAAAAGTAGGTTTGAGCATTGTTTTGTCAATTCTGGCTATTTCTGATGTTTCGCCCGAAATCTGCCTGTAGGGGGACATGCCCGACCTAAAACTACGTTTATGATGCTCCAACCTACTGTAGCCCGAAGCACCAGAAAGAATTCGAGCACCGGGAAGGTACCAAAGCCCAAGGGATTCCACGTCGGGCCATGGGAGACACTCGTTCGACACTGTTCCGACACTGTTTCGTCATTTTTTCCGGCTGCTCGAATTGTTTTCTGGGATGTGGTGATGGGGGCAGCATAAAACTACGTGCTGATTTTTTCTGTCCTCAGCTGCTCCTGGGCATTCCCAGGCGGCGCCGGCGCGAAGCCTGACGGTGCCCGGAGGGGGCGGAGGGGCTGGCACGTCACGGTCGCGATCGCGGCTCGTTGGAAAGCGCTCTCCAGCAGAAGGAGAGCAGCTGTACCCGTGCGGTCAAGAACGCCTGCTTCGCGTATCGCGCCGCCTTTTGGGCGGCGCCTAGGTGCGACTGCTTTCGAATGTGGAGCATTTTGCTCAGTGCACGTGCACCGCACGCTTCGTGTGCAATTAGCTTTGTACCGCCGTCCCGGACATCGCCCGTTGCCGCCAGACCGTTGTCGCGCGGCCGCCGACCAAAAAAGTATCGCGCCGCCGGCTCTGGCCCACGCTTCGGCGCGGCGCGCGGAGCATTTCCCGATGCCCGGTCGTCAGTGCCCTGAGCTGTTCCCGGCCTCTCTCCTTGTATGAGGCAGAGCGGCGATCAGCCTGCAGGGCGCGGCGTGTCGCAGGGGCCGCCGCCACGACATAGTCCAAGCAGGAGCTCCTGGCCGTAGCCCAGATCTCGTAATAAAAGGGAGGGGGTCTGGACCCTCCCAGACGAGAAGTTTCAGACCCCCCCCGTGGGAGAACCCTCCAAAACATCGTCCCCAGACCCCCCCAGGCCCTCCAAGATAGCCTGGAAGAGACCCCCCCCCGAAATGAGACCCCCCTCCCTTTATTACGAAATCTGGAGTAGCCCTGGGCGTTTCCCCCTCTGTATGTTCACCGGTCCCACGCAGCCCGTTTTGGCTCCTACCGCGCCGCCTGCAGCGTTGTGGGATGGCGGGGGGCGTCGGTGAACACGCACAGGTCAGTGCTAACAAGCGTTCTGAGGAGAACCGGTTTGAGAACCTGAATTCAGACCCGGGCGTCTCACGTTTTTCACACCAGGGGTGCTCGCGCGGTTTCGGGCCCCGGAGACTTCACGGTCGATCCGGCTTGATAAACATGCCGCAGTATAATGGGGTCTGTGGCTCTGGTCACACTTTCCAACCATCCTGTGGTGTTAGGTCCTCGTTTTGAAGAGACGGCCCCCGCGATCCTCATCTCTTCCTCTTTCCTCCTCATCCCCCCCTTCTCCCTCCTCTCTCCGCCCGTCCGCCCCTCACTTTGGCACACTCCTCACACGTTTCGTGGCCCCACAGGGGGCTCCACCTCAGGCCCCAGTGGCTGCGCTCGCATGACACCACCGCGCCCATTTCGGCACACCCTTGACACGTTTCGTGGCCCCACTGGGAGCTCCACCGAAGGCCCCAGCGGCTGCGCTCGCATGACACCACCGCGCCCATCTCGGCACACCCCTGACACGTTTCGTGGCCCCACTGGGAGCTCCACCGAAGGCCCCAGCGGCTGCGCTCGCATAACACCACCGCGCCGATTTCGGCACAACCTTCACACATGTCGTGGCCCCATACGGAGCTTCATCGAAGGTCCCGGTGGCTGCGCTCGCATGGCACCACCGCGCGCGCCCATGTTGGAAAAAGCGTGTCCAGCTGATGCTGGCGGAAAATACCCGGGGGGGGGGTCACTAGGGGTTTCCAACCAGACCCCCCCCCTCTCGAAAACCGCGGGGGGGTCACTAGGGGTTCCAACCCCGCCTTCCCCCCCCCCCCCGGCTCATCATGAAAAAGGAGGCGGGGTCACTACGCGTTCGAACCTCTCCCTCCCCCCCCTCTTGGAAAACCGGGGGGGGTCACTAACTGTTCGAGTCCCCCCCTCCTCCCCACCTCCCCCCTCGCCGCAACGACTCCCCCTCCTCTCCCACTCCGGATGGGGGACTGGTGGGGACAGTGGTTGGGACGGTGGTGGGGATGGTGGTGGGGAGTGGGGACAGTGGGAAGAGTGGAACTGTGGTGGGGACAGTGGTGGGAACAGTTGGGGCAGTGCGGCAGTGGTGGGGGCACTGGCGGGGACAGTGGGGACAAAGGTGGGGACTGTGGGTACAGTGGGACAGTGGTGGGGACAATGGGGACAGTTGGACAGTGGTGGGGACGGTGGTGGTGGGGACATCAGTGGGACAGTGGTGGGGACGGTGGTGGTGGTGGGGACAGCAGTGGGACAGTGGTGGGGACGGTGGTGGGGGGGACAGTGGTGAGGGCGGTGGTGAGGACGGTGGTGGGGACCCAGGAGTCTTTTGCTGGCGGCGGGGGGGGAGGGGTTCGAACCGATAGTGACCCCCCCTCGGTTTTCTGGAGGTGGGGGGGGGTGGAGGGGGGTTTGAACCAGTAGTGACCCCCCCTGGTTTTCCGAAGAGGGGGGGAGGGAGGACGGGTCCAGGGGACGGGGGGGAGGGAGGGGGGACCCCTGTGGTCCGGAGAAAGGGGGGAATTTCCAGAGTAAAGCGGCGGTGGAACACGCTCTCTCCCATGTTGGCACACCCCTCGCACGTTTCGCGCCCCATACGGAGCTCCACCGAAGACGATACCAACAATTGCGTTACTCACAACTGCATATGGTTGGGTCGTTCGCCAGGATCATTTTCTGTTGCGTGGTGTTGCATTGGTTTTCGCGTCGTCGGATCTCGTGGAAGGGGTCCTGAGGGAAAGAGGTCTTCAGAGATCTCTCCTCTCTTTCGGCCTTCTGGTGTTATATTGGTCCTGCGGAAAGCTCTGGGGCCCTGGGACCTGCTGGCCAGTGACCCTTCGCCAGAGTGGCTGCTGACCAGCGACCCTTCGCCAGAGTGACCCATCGCCAGAGTGGCCGTTGGTGCGGGCCCACAGGGTTCCCCCAGCGAAGGAGGATCGGGGAGGAGGAGGAGGAGGAGGAGGAGGAGGAGGAGGAGGAGCAGCAGGAGGAGGAGGAGGAGGAAGAGGTGGATGAGGATGGGGAGGAGTAGGGGGGAGGGGAGGAGGAGGGGGAGGGGGAGGGGAAGGGGATGAGGAAGGGGAGAGGGACGGGGGATGGGGGGGCACCCCCTCTGCTCGAGGGACGAGGGTTTCCGAGGGAGGGGTCGCCCTGGAGCGAAGCGCGCTGGAGCTCCAGAGAGAGCGGGCCGCGCAGAGGCGCGACCACGCCAGGGGCCTGGCGGACCCGCAAGGGCTGCGGGAGCTGCTGGCGGGCTCCGGGCTGAGGCGCCGACGCGCACGCCGCCGCCGCTGCCCGCCGTCGTCGCCGCCGCCGCCGCCGCCGCGGTTGTCGTCGACGTCGTTGTCGCCGTCGTTGTCGCCGTCGTGTCGTCTTCTCCGCTGCTGACGTCGTCGCCGCGGCCGTCTTCGTCGTTGTGTCCGCCGCCGCCGCCGCCGTCGTTGCCGCCGTCGTCGGCGGCGGCGGCGGCCAGTAATCGTCGCTGTCGCCGCAGCCGTCGTTACCGCCGTCGTCAGCGGCGGCGCCGCCGTCGTCGTCGCCGCCATGGTCGTCCTTGTCGCTACCGTTGTCGTTGGTGGCGCGGCCATTGGGTATTCCGAGTTGGCGAACACCCAGGAGTTCTACACAGGCAGAGAACATCCCGTCACAATGGGCGTGAGAGTTTCGAATGGCCCTCGACAGTCGAGCAATGGTTTATTGAATGGCCATGCAGTCCAGTCTCACAGCAACAGCATCTTGCATGCACCCCCGAAAAGGTCGTAAGACGGCAACCGGAACGCAAGTCCACCCGAGGGAAACATTGGCGACCGAGCAGCGCAAGGACAAACTCACGCATGCAACCGCGACCTGATCGCGAGCCGCTTCGGACCAGCGGGTGATGGCTACGTTGAGGCGAGGTGTCCGCCGTCGTCGCGCCGTGGGCCAAAGGCGCGCGCTCCTGCTATAGCAGGGCGTGAATCGCACGGCGGGTAGGCCTGCCAGGCCCGCCGTTCTCCAGCCCGCTCGCGCCTTGCCCGTGTCCTCCCAGCGCGGCTTCCTCCCAGCGCGGCGCCGCCTGCCACGCCAGCGGCCACGACGCGGCGGTGCCCGGCCCGTCGCGCAGTGGGCGTTGCAGTGGGCACCTTCTCAGGCCAGCCACAACTGGGGGAGCTGTGGTCCTTGCCCCCCTGGGGAACCCATCGATTTCGACACCCCTCTCTCGAGAGCGTCGACGCGATGGGTTCCCCCACGGGGGAAGTAAGGACCACAGCTCCCCCAGTTGTGGCTGGTCTGCTTCTGGGGGGTAAGGACCACAGCTCCTCCAGTTATGGCTGGTCTGCTTCTGAACCACGTCACCGGCGATGGCACGGAGGACGGGGGCGAAGGTGGCGGGACGCCGTCTTGATCTCCGCGCCAGGCGCCGAGGCGCTCGCCGAGCCGCCCCGACAGCGGGCCAGGCCTTCGCCCGCAGGCGCGACCGCTCGCCCTCTTCCCCGTCCGCCTTCATCCCTGTCCTTCTAGATGATTCCTGCTCCTCCTCCTTCTCCTCCTCCTCCTCCTCCTCCATTTCCTCCTCCTCCTCCTCCTCCTCCTCCTCCTCCTCCTCCTCCTCCTCCTCCCCGCCCCCGCCCGCCCTGGACGGCCATGGCCGCGCCCGCCGCCCTCGTCCGCCCCCGCCCGCCCTCGACGGCCAGCGCCTCCTCCGCCATCCCTTTCCTCACAACATAGTTCCTCCGTGTCGCAAGCACCTAGCTGTTTACACCCGACAACCCGAAGACAGGAGGAGGAGGAGGAAGAGGAGGAGCTGTCGGGTATAAACAGCTATCCCGTCAGCGGAGCTGTCGGGTATGAACAGCTAGATGTTTGCATTCTGTCAGCGGCGCGGTCGGAGAGAGTGGGGCAAGAGAGACAAACAAAAAACACATCCTCCGTGTCGCACCCCGAGACGTGTCCATAAGGGGGGCGCAGCCGGGCGTATCGCTGGAGATCTCACGGGTGGTGGTCCTTGAGCTGAGAGCGTGCGGCAGTTTCCCAGGTGCAGAAGCGTTTGTCCCAATCATCGTGTGGTGTCGGGTCTTCGTTTGGAAGAGTGAGCGCCCCGCGTTCTTCCTTCCTTCCTTCCCCCCTCCTCCCTCCTCCCTCCTCCCATCCCATCCCTGCCTCTGCCCTCCACATCTCTGCTTAGGCTAGGCGTATCCCTCACACGCTTCGTGGCCCCAAAGGGAGCCTCATAGTAGGCCCAAATGACAGCGATCGCATGGCGCCACCGCGCCCATTTCGGCAATCCCCCCACACCCCCACTAGCTGCGCTCGCATGGCACCACCGCGCTGCTTTCGGCACACCCTTCACACGTTTCGTGGCCCCCCAGGGAGCCCCACCGAGGACCCCACTGGCTGCGCTCGCATGGCACCACCGCGCTGCTTTCGGCACACCCTTCACACGTTTCGTGGCCCCCTAGGGAGCTCCACCGAAGGCCCCAGTGGCTGCGCTCTCATGGCACCACCGCGCCCAGTCCAGCACATCTCTGACGAGCATCGTGGCCCCATAGGGAGCTCCACCGAAAGTCCACATGCCAGCGCTCGCGTGGCACCACCGCGCCAATTTCGGCATACCCCCGACGAGAATTGTGGCCCCATAGGGAGCTCCACCGAAGGCCCAAATGCCAGCGCTCGCATGGCACCGCCGCGCCCGTTGCGGCACACCCCTCACGAGCATCTTGGTCCCCACAGAAAGCTCCACCGTGGGCACAAGTGGCCGCGCCCATGTCGTCACACCCCTCCAAGGCTCCAAAGTTTCGCGGCCCCATGGAGAGCTCCACCGATTGCCCAGTGCCGGCGCTCGCATGGCAACCCCGCGCCCATTTCGGCGCACACCTCACACGTTTCGTGGCCCGCTAGGGAGCTCCACAGAGGGCCCCACTGGCGGTGCTCGCATGGCACCACCGCGCCCATTTCGGCACACCCCTCACACGTTTCGTGGCCCCCTAGGGAGCTCCAACGACGGCCTCAGTGGCTGCGCTCGCATGACACCACCGCGCCCATTGCGGCACACCCCTCACACATTTCGTGGCCCCCTAGGGAGCTCCACCGAAGGCTTCAGTGGCTGCGCTCGCACGACACCACCGCACCCATTTCGGCACACCCCTCACACGTTTCGTGGCCCCTCCATGGGGGGAGCTCCGCCGAAGGCCCCGATGTTTGCGGCCGCACGGCGCCACCGCACTTATATCGGCACACCCTTCACAATGATCGTGGACCCATAGGTAGCCTCATCGAGGACCGAAATCATAGCGCTCGCATGGCGCCACCGCGCACATGTCGGCACACCCCTCACACGCTTCGTAGCCCGCTCGGGAGCTCCTCCGAGGGCCCCACTGGCTGCGCTTTCATGGTATAACACCGCGCCCTTTTCTGTACACCCCTCACAAGCTTCGGCGCCAGAGGGAGCCCCACCGTTTGCCCCAGTGGCTGCGCTCGCATGGTGCCACCGCGCCCAATGCGGCACACCCTACAAGTTCTTCGTTGCGCCATGAAGGTGTCCACAGAGGGCCCCAGTGGCTGCGCTCTCATGGCACCACCGCGCCCATTTCGGCACACCCCTCAAAAGGATCGTGGTCCCACAGGGAGCCCCACCGAAGGCCTACATGCCAGCGCCCTTATGGCCCACAGGGAGCTCCACCGAAGGCCCACACCCCTCAAACGTTTCGTGGCTCCATAGGGAGCTCCACCGAGGGCCGTAGTGGCTGCGCTCGCATGGCATCACCGCGCCCATGTCGGCACACCCCTCACACGTTTCGTGGTCCTATAGGGAGCTCCACCGAAGGCCGCAGCGGCTGCGCTCGCATGACACCATCGCACCCATTTCGGCACGCCCCTCACACATTCCGTGGCCGCATGGAGAACTCCACCTAGTGCTCCAGTGGCGGCGCTCGCATGGCATCACCGCGTCCATTGCGGCACACCCCTCACACGCTTCGTGGCTCCATAGGGAGCTCCACCGAAGGCCCCGGTGTTTGCGCTCGCATGGCACTACCCCGCCCATGTTGGCACACCCCTCACGAAGATCTTGGCCCCATAGAGAGCTCCACCGTTTGCCCCAGTGGCTGCGCTCGCATGGCACTTCCGCGCCCATTTTGGCACACCCATTACGAAAACCGTGGCCCCATAGGGAGCTCCACCGACAGCGGCACCCACAACGCGGTAATCACAGTTGCGTATGGTTGGGCCCCTCTGCAGGAGATCTTCTTTGTTGTTGGACATGCGGGTCCCGCCTTAGCGCCGCTCACATTCCTTTTTAACATTTCACAGGCGTTTCGCTGAGGGAGGGCGGGCAGTTATCAACATGTGGCTCTTGCCTTAACGCCACGCAGACTAATCTTAATCATTGTGCGGTTTCACGTATGAAGGGTGTTCCGTTCTCGAAATGTGTATTTCGCCGTCTCGCCGCGCGCATTCGTTGTAAGTGCCCATCGCCTTGTCAAGGATTCTTCTGGTAGACGTCCCAGGAATGTTTTTTGTTGTATCTGTATTTCCGTTGCGATGTAAGACGGCCAGGACACAACAGTGACGCTGCCCCGCGGTATTGAAGTTCCAGAAATGGTGTTCTGGAACGTTTCAAGAAAGCCTCTGGCGCAACAGTAACGTTGATTCGCGGCGTTGATGTTCCAAGATGGGTGTTCTGGCACGGTTCAGGGTTTCCAGACGGTTATTGTCCAACAGGGCAATTCCGCCAGTGAAAATGAATTCTTGTAGGGACTTGTGAAGAGGGAACTTGGAGGGAGGGTGTATTGCAGCATCGTTGGTGAGTCTTGGGTCTACACTGGTCCTCGTCCTCCTCGTCTTCCCTCCCTCGGCGAAGGAGCAGGACAGCTCCAGCCCCCATTGCGCCTCCTGCGATGCCGAGCAGTTCCGTATTCCTGCGTTGGGGCTTGTCACACTGACATTGAGCCTCCAAGGACGAAGGGACGTGGTCCTGAGGGAATCGGGATCGTGAGCTATGATGTTCCAACCGACTTTAGCCTTGACCGCAAAAGGCACCAAGACAGTTCCGAAACTCGAGGCTTTTCGCGCGTCGGGCCCTGGGAGACACTCGTCGGACACTGTTTCGACACTGCTTCGCCACTCGTTCGACACTTTTCCGGGTGCTCGGATTTCTTTGTTCTGGGATGTGGTCTCTAAGCGCGATGAGAGCAGCATAGAATCGTGAGGTTGGTTCGCCGTGTTCGGCCTCGCGGGAAGCCTTCCAGTGTTTCGGGGGGGCCGTGGCGCAGCGACACGGGACGAGGGACAAGAGTCCTGGGGAAAGCTTTTCGGCCCAGGGTTCTCCATGGTTTTTTGTATGCTTCGGGCCAGCCTGATAGTCTGAGGAGTGGACTTCCCCAGAATCTGAAGTGGCAGGCTGGTTTTCCACCACCACCACCACCAGAAGTAGGATGGGGAGGGGCTACTCCTCCTCCTCCTCCCCCTTCTCATCCTCCTCCCTTCCCCCTCCAACTTATGGTGGTGGTGGTGGTGGAAAACAGGCCCAGCCCTGGTCCTGGAGTGTTCTTCGTGTGGGGTGTTCCACCCTAGAGTGTCTTCTGTTGTGTTGGGCACCTCCCGGGGGGACTTCGGCCTCTGGCCTTCGGCGAAGGGCCGGTGTTCTTGAGCCACGCTCTCATGGCCTAACTGTGTATCGGTCGCGCTAGCGGAGCCCTGGGGGCCGCGTTCTGTTTTAGATTTACAGGAGGAGGAAGGGGAGGAGGAGGAAGGGGAGGAGGAGGAAGGGGAGGAGGAGGAGGAGGAGGAGGAGGAGGAGGAGGAGGAGGAGGAGGAGGGGGAGGAGGTCGCACTCATGGCCGAACTGTACGTTGGTGCAGCTTCCTGTTGCGGTCCGGCCAGGCTGGTACCGTTTGGGAAGGACGGCCTCGACGCCACGGTCGAGTCGGCACGCCATCAGATGATGCCTGTGCGTTGCCATCTATGTGGATGTTGTGTTGCTCTTGCCTGCGATGCAGCGGAGGTGTCTGGATCACGAAGGCTCAGGAGCCAGCCAGCGGCAGAGATGCTATGCAGCAGAAGTCGGACGCCCTTTTTCTGTCGGCTCGTGTATTGGACGCCGTGTGCCAGCTGGAACCACCGATTGGGACTACTGACGCTTTGCTTATCCCCCCCCATCCATCTAGAAATGATGCCCAAGGCGGTTCGTATTGATCGGGGAAGCGAGGGAGCATGCAGTGTAATAGAAAAGGGGGCCAGCGAGAAAACCGAAGATCGAGATCAGCCTGAGGACGTCCAGGACCATAAATGCCCGCGCAGATCTTTCGATGTGGAGCCTGTTGCCAGCTTACCTGGGCCATCTAGAGTCCTCTTGGGGCCATGTTAGAGGCCTTCAGGGCTCTCTTGGGGTCCTCCTGGGCTCCATCTTGCAGGCCTTGAGGGTGCTCGTGACCCAGTCAGATTCAAAGCAAAAGCCTCTTGAGGCGTCTCTGGGGCGTTTTGGACGCTCTTGGGGCCGTCTCCGAGCCCTCTTGGGCCTCTCTTGGGGCTTTCTTGGGCGATCTTGGAGCCATCTTGGGCCTCAGAAGCCCATAGGACGGGAAAAGGCTAGAAGACTTTGTAAGGACTTCGGCATCTCGGGGACTGTGTGGCCACTTGGAGCCCTCTTGGGGCGGTCTTGGAACCTCTTGGAGCCATGTCGGAAGCTATGGAAGACGCCTGCGGCGAACTACCGCCGCCCCCTGCTTGTTGGAATCGCCCATGTGGCCGAGCGTTATGGCAAGAGCTCTGCCACGCTATCGGACCATGTGTTCGCCCAGCCGTTGTGGAAACCTTTCGGGGAACACTTGGGTGGGGATAGCGGGGAAGTCCAGTAGGAGGAGGAGGAGGAGGAGGAGGAGGCATCTTGGTAGCCTCTGGGGCACTCTTGGGGCCTCCTGGAAGCTTCCTGGACGCACCTGGGGTAGGCTTGGGCGGTTTCGGAGGCGTCTTGGGCGGACTTGGAGCTATCTGTGACTCCCTCGGACCGTCTTGGAGACCATCTTTAACCATCTTGGGCGAGCTTGCGGGCCATCTTGGCCGTCTTGGAGGCCACGTAGGCCAAAGCCAAGAGGATAGGATTCAGCACGCCGGGCATTCCTGTGGCAAGCCAACAGGGGGCAGCGAGTTTTGTGGCCTTCTGCCCATCCTGCCACCGTGATTGGGCTGTAGGTATGCAGCCTATTGGATATTCGCTGGGATCTCGTAGGAAACTTTGCCTCTTGGGAGGCCACTTGGGGGCCGTTTGGGAGATTCTTGGGCCCTTCTAGGAGCCTCTTGGGAGCCTCCTGGGGCCTCTTGGCTCTTGGGGGCTTCTTGGGCCCCTCTTGGGGCCTCCTGGGGGCTTCCTGGGGCGGAAGGCTCGGGTTTTCGGTTCGCGTTCCCTCTTTTGGGCCCCTTTGGGGGCCGTTTTGGGGCCCTCTTGGGCCGTCTTGGGGGCGCTCTTGGGCAGTTTGGGGCCCTCTTGGAAGCCTCTTGGGCGGTCTTGAGGCGGTCTTGGGGGCCTCTCGGGGGGAATAAAACCGATCGCAACCTCTTCGGACCGTTCAGGAACCACTTCGGACCGATTACATCCACTGGAAGCGGATTGATTACGACGTCTAGGATTCCTAGCGTAGTCCTGCAAGGGGAACGCCGGATTACAACCAGGAGTGTGTGCCTCAGCTTCCCTGGGCTTGAAAGACTCTTGTGGATTCCCGCAGGATTCTTGAGGATCTTTGCGGGTGCCTGAAGGATTCCCAAGAAGGATTCTTGAGGATTCCTGAGGGATGCTTGAAGTTTCGTGAGGATTCTTGCGGATACATGAAGGCCTGAAGGATTCTAAGGATTCCAGGGGGGTTCTCGAGGGTTATTGAGGATTCTTGTGGATTCTTGAAGGATCCCTGAAGGATTCTTGAGGGAGGGTTCATGAGGGCTTCTGAAAGTCTCTTGAGGATTTCCTGGGGGGTTCTTGCGGAGTCCTGAAGGATCCCGAAGGGTTCTGCCGGATTTCTGAGGGTTCTTGAGGATATCTATCGATTCCTGAAGGATTCCTGAAGGTTTCGTGAGGTTTCATGTGGGATTCTTGACAGTTCTTGATGATTGCCTGAGAGCTCCTTGGGGATCCCTGAAGGAATCCGGAAGCATGCTCTAGCATCATTGAGGATTATTGCCGGTTCTTGAGAATTGCTGACAGTTTCTTCTGGATTACTGACAGTTCTTCTGGATTACTGACAGTTTCTTCTGGATTCCTGGAGTTTCCTGCAGGATTCGTGCAGGATTCCTGGAGGTTGCTTGCGGCATTCCTAAAAAGGATCCCTGGAGGATCCGCACAGGGTGCCTGAAGGACTCCTGAAGGTTCCTGATGGATCCCTGCAGGATTCCTGAAGGATCCCTGAAGGATTCCTGAAGTATTCTTGGAGGGTTCCTGCAGGATTCCTGCAGGATTCCTGAAGGATTGCTGGAGGATCCTTGGAGGATTCCTGAAGGATCCTACATCGGATTCCTGAGGGATTCCTGATTCTTGGGGGATTCCTGCAGGCCTCCAGGGGCCAGAGCACGAAACGGGCCGCCAGGGGCCAAAGGACGTCCTCCCGTGGCGTCGTCATTCCTCATGCGTTCTCCGTCGTGGTCGTGCTGTCAGTCGCCCGTCGTCAGTGGTCCGTCGTCGCCGTGCTCTCGCGTGTGCGCGCCGACGCCCGTGGGGAATGGGAATAGAGGGAGGTGTAGGAGGAGAGGGAGGAAGAGGAGGAAAATGATGAGGAAGAGGAGGATGAGGAGGAGGAGGAGGAGTAGGAGGAGGAGGAGGAGGAGGAGGGAGGGGGAGGAGGTGATGGGGGAGGAAGAGGACCATTTGGATGAGGAGGGGAGGGTGATGAGGACAATATGATGGTTATGATGATGATGATGCTGATGATGATGATGATGATGATGATGGTGATGATGACGATGTTGATGATGATGATGAGGATAAATTTGGGGAGTATGGTAATGATTATGATGATAATGCTGCTGCTGATGATGATGCTGATGATGATTTTGATGATGCTGCTGATGATGATGATGGTGATGATGATGCTGATGATGGTGATGGTGGGAAAGGGGGTGGTGATGACGAGGGGGATGTGGAGGGCGAAGCGGGACCAAGGGGCGAGCTGTCCGGTGTTTAAGGAGACGCACGGAGGGAAGTCAATTTTCTCAGCCTGTAATTCCCCCAACTCTAAGCATGGGAGTAGGGCAAATTCGCATGCTTGGAAAAAATGAGGCGCCAGGATCTCGGGATTTGTTCATCCCGAGCTCGTCTCGATTCGGTCCGATGGCCCCACTCGATGCCGACGGATCTTCTCCTGCCTCAGTGCTGCGCCACTTCGCGTGCGAGGTGGCGGGCGGCGCCCTCGTGTCCGCGCCCGGCGTCGGAGTGAGGAGCCCTGGCTGGCGTCGTCGTCGTCGTCTCCGTCATCGTCGCCGTCGGCCTCTTCGTCATCGTCCTCGTCGTTAGTTCCGTCGCCGCCCGTCACCGTCGTCGACGACTTCGTCAATGTCGTCGTCGTCGTCGTCGTCGTCGTCGTCAGTGACGCCAGCGACGTCGCCAGCGTCGTCGCCGAGGTCGTCGTTGCCGTCGTTGACGGTGCCGTCGTCGCCGTTGTCAGCGCTGCCGTCGTCGTGAGCGCCGTCGCTGCCTTTCGGAGCGGAGGCCCCGTCGCGGCCGCCGTGGGCGCGGTGCCCCGCGAGGAGCTGCGACTGGTGGCCGGACGACCTGTTCGAGGGCGCGGGGCTGGTGCCCATGTGGCACTGGAGCTCCGCGGGCGAGGCCGAGGGGGTGCCGCGGCGGGGGCCGCGTGCACAGCCGGTGCTGCTGCGGCTTGCGTGCAGTGGCCTCGCCCTCGGGGCCTCGGGGCGCTGTTTCCTCTTGCGGCCCCCCTGCGAGCTCTGCCCCCCCGCGGGTCCAGTCGGTGACAACCCCGCGGGGGTGCACCTGCTGCTTCCGTGCAGTGGCCTCGCCCTCGAGGCATCGCGGAGTCGACCTCTCGCGCGACGCCTGCGAGCCGTACACCGCAGGCGCATTATGTAAGAAGCCGTCCTGCCAGGGATTTTCTTATCCCCGATGGCCCCCGGGACCCGCAGAAGCTCCGCGGACCCTTAAAGATCGACGAATCAAATGCCCCATGCTTTCTTATAGCAAGACTTATAGTCGTGGGTGCCTGCTGTACCCCCTGCCGGTCCGATTGACGCTCGGCCTCGGGTATGGGACACCTCGGCTGCAGGCATTCTTCAACGTTTGAAACCTGGCTGGATTTTCAGACATTTGGCCCGCAGGGGTAAGGTTCCCGTGAATGGCATTTGTATGTGTGTATTGCGACGGCCTTGCGGCCACTGCCGCCGACCTTGAAGGCGGAACCTCCCCCAGTACCCCCCGCTGGCGACCCCCCCCCCGGGACCCCCCAGAACCCCCTCGGGAACCCATGGGGTAGCATTGTGACCCGGCACCCCGCCCCCCCCCGGCAGGGAAGGGATCAAAAAGAAGCGGCTTCCCTGCCACTCAACTGCGAAATGCTTCAACTTCCTTGCGCCTCAATTTCCCCCATTACCTTGGGACTGACGACGACGACGACGACAGTGTCTTCCACACGCCGAGGGGTCGGCACATTTTTCATATTCTACGTATGTCGCCGAGCCGTTGGTTCCGACGCGCGGCCTGACGTCTTGGGGAGGGCGCCTCGGCCACCGGGGCAGACGTGCCGTCGCGCTAGCGTCTTCTACTTGGGCGCGGGGCGCAGGGCTTGCCGTGGGTTTGCCGTGGTGTCGGCGTCGTCCAATTGGGCGCGTCCAGAACAAACGGCGCGGCGACATATGCACGCATGTTTCTCCAAGCAGAGCTTGCCTGTGTAGGGGTCCTAGCGGGTCATATGGTTAGGTGAGGTATGGCGCCGACTTCGGCGGCACGCATGGGTGCCCGGGTGCCCGGGTACCTGGGTGCCTGCCTGGGTGCCCCGGTGCCGGGTAGCCTTACAGCCCTACAGCCCCATAATCTTATGGCCTTCTACCCCTATAGCCCTATAGCCCCTATTGACCCAATAGCCCGATGTCCCTATGGCCATATAGCCCTATAGCCTTATAGCCGTATAGCCCTATAGCCCTATAGCCCTATAGCCCTGTAGCCCTATAGCCCTATAGCCCCAGAGCCTTATAGCCCTATAGCCCTGAAGCCGTATAGCCCCATTGCCCTATAGCCCTAAACAAATTCGGATTGGGCTTCTCTCCTGTATCATTATGTACTTGATATGTAAAGCACTGCTACTGGAAACAAGTAACTTCGGGGAAGCTGCAGTATTATGCAGGAGAACGCCGCCGCGCGTGAAGTCGCGGCGATGGGTGCTGGGATAATGTGCAAGAGCGCAAATTCGGCATGGAAGTGTCTTTACATGTTTTGCCGCATCGGAGCCTCTGGGCTTTTCAGATGCATTTGTTTCGTGACGTGGCTCCCTTGGATGTTGACCTCTTTTCGGGGACCGTCTTTTCATCCCGAGCCGTTGTTGGCGCTCGTTTGTGGACGGCCCCGGGACCAGGAATGCCCCCCAGAGACCGAGAACTTGGAACATTCAGCCGCCGTGATTGTTGTTTTGAGCTCGCCCAGGTTTGAGGGTCGAACTGAACTGCTGGCCGATCGAAGGAGGCGGATCGGCATCAGCCCGACTTTCTTATTCTTCAACAACTGTGTGCCCCCCCCCCCCCCACCGCCCCAGAGGCGACGCGCGTGCTCAGAAATCTTGTAGCGTATGTTGGATGGCGAGCGCGCCTGGGCAACGATGTGCTATCATATGTTTGTGCTGTGTGTTCAGTTCGGCTGTGCGTTTCCTAGGGGGGCGCGAAGTTATAGTATGTCCTCCTGCGTTCCAGTGGGAGGAGGAGACGTAGGATGAGTAGGAGGAGAAGGAGGAGGAGGTGGTGGAGGAGGAGGAGGAGGAGAGGGTGGCCTCGTCTCCACTAGCCGATCGACGGATGAGAGGGAGAGGGAGGAGGAGGAGGAGGAGGAGGAGGAGGAAGAGGAGGAGGAGACGGAGAGGGTGGCCTCGTCTCCACTAGCCGATCAACGGATGAGAGGGAGAGGGAGGAGGAGGAGGAGGAGGAGGAGGAGGAGGAGGAGGAGGAGGAGGTGAAGGTCTCTTAGATCTGGGCGGAGCATTTGTTTCACACTGGGCGTTTTCGCTCATTGTCGAGCCCTGCGCCATCACATATCGATCCGGCTCGAACAATGCCGCAGAAAGAATAGGGTTTAGGGATCCGGTCGTGATTTGTCGCGATCTGACATTTTGATTCGCAACGTCGGATCTCCGGTGATCATGGCTAAGCCTGTGTTGTGCCAGTGGGGGGCGCCCATTGCCTGGGGCGAAGCTGGATTCGCATCCTGATATGGAGGTTGTTAGACAGGCGCCCGCCCTGACTACGCAGCCCCTCAAGAGCTTTGCGCTACTTGCCTGGTAAACATGCTGTTGGCACCTGTTGGCACGTGCTGCTCGCACGTGCTGGGATGTGCTGCTGGCGCCTGAGGAGGAGGAGGAGGACTTGGAGTTGCAGGAGGAGGAGGAGGAGGAGGAGGAGGAGGAGGAGGAGGAGGCGATGAAGGAGAAGGAGCGAGGCCTCGTCATCGACAGCACCGCCCCGCGCCTCGCTGGCTCAGGCGGCCCCCCTGCAGGGCCATCGCCGGCCTCTCGGCGCACCTCCCCCGGTCGAAGCCGCACGCCAAAGCGCGTGTGGCGTTCCTGTGCGCCGCTGTGGGCCGCTGGCCAGCTGGATCCCGACCCGTTCGTTAAGTCGGGCACGCCCTCTACAGGAGGAATACTCCCAACGAGTCAAACAGTAGTCTCGGGACGATTTTTGTTGAGCATGTTTCTTGTATTGTTTTGGGGCGTTTTCTGTGTATTTTTAGATATTCGCCAAAAATCCGCCAGCACGGGGACATGCCCGACCTAACCTGTTCGCGACCGAGCTCGGCTGCGCGCCGCGGGCAGCAATGGAAGACCCGGGCCGGGGCTACGCCAGCGAGGCTCCTGGAGATCCCCTGCCCTCCTGGGGAGGCGTAGAAGCTATGCAGCCACACGCAGAAGGGGGGAGGAGGAGGAGGAGGAGGAGGAGGAGGAGGAGGAGGAGGAGGAGGAGGAGGAGGAGGAGGAGGAGGAGGAGGAGGAGGAGAGGAGGAGAGGAGGAGGAGGAGGAGGAGGGAGGAGAGGAGGAGGAGGAGGAGGAGGAGGAGGAGGAGGAGAGAGGAGGAGGAGGGAGGAGGAGGAGGAGGAGGAGGAGGAGGAGGAGGAGGAGGAGGAGGAGGGAGGAGGAGGAGGGGGAGGAGGAGGAGGAGGAGGAGGAGGAGGAGGAGTGGTGGTGGTGGTGGTGGTTGTGGTGGTGGTGGGATGTGGTGGTGGTGGTGGTGGTGGTGGGTTGTGGTGATGGTGGTGGTGGTGGTGGTGACGGTGGTGGTGGGTGGTGGTGTGGTGGTTTGTGGTGGTGGTGGTAGTTCTGGTGGTGGTGGGGTGTGGTGGTGGTGGTGGCGTTTTTGGAGGATGTGGTGGTGTAGTGTTTGTGGTGATGGTGGTGATTGTGGTGGTGGTGGTGGGTTGTATTGGTGGTGGCGGTGGTGGTGGCGGTGGTGGCGGTGTGGTGGTCTGTGGTGGTGGTGTGATGGTGGAGTGTCCTTCGGGTCTTTCCGCCACCGTGTCTTGGCTTTGGGTCAGAGTTCTAATGGATGCCTCTTGTGGTCTCGTCAGATGGGTCTCGGGGACGTCTGAGGAGCATTTGAGAAGCCTCGTGGACCTTCCTAAGGGCCTCTCGGTGGCTTCTGGGGGGGCGACGGCTCGATATGGCGATTTGCGCTTCCCCTCTGAGGCCTCTGGGCCCTCTTTGGTCATCGTCGCTGCGTCCCTGCCGTCGGCGCTGCTGGCCGCCGCCAGCGCCGGCGCCGGCGCCGGCGCGGGGGGGGGTTGGACCCCCCCCCACCCCACCTTCTCCTGGGTCCTCTCTGGTCATCGTGGCTGCGTCCCCGCCGTCGGCGTTGCTGGCCACCGCCAGCGCCGGCGCCGGCGCCGGCGCCGGGGGTGGCGGGGGGTGGTGGGTTTGGACCCCCCCCCCTAAAAAGGGGGGGGGTTCGGGAGGGAGGGTTTTTAGGGGGGAGGTCCTCCTGGTTCTGATCGACGGCGTCGAATGTTGGGGGGGGGCCACCCCCCGGTTCGAAACTCGCCGCCGAATGTTCCCAAGGCAAGCGCCCTTGAAACGCGCTCTCTTGTATATATGTGCACACGCATGTATGCATGCATGTATGTATGTTTGTATGTGTGTATGTATGTACATATGTATGCACGTAGGTGTATGTGCGTACATGCATGCATACATGCATATGCATATATGTATGTTTGTATAAGAGTAGATGCATGCATTAACTGCTGCATGGATGCATGTATGTATGTATGTATGAAGGTATGTATGTGTGCAGTTAGCCATGTATTCACGTGTTGACGTATGCGTTTATGTATGTGTGTGCATGTATGCCGTGTTGCTTGTATGCATGTGTGTTTGTTTGGGTGTATGTGTGTACGTGTGTATGTATGCACGTAGGCATGTAGGTGTGCTTGTGTGTACATGTGTACATGTGTATGTGTGTATGTGCGCATGTATGTTTGTTGTTACGCATGCATGTATGAACATACATGTTTGCATATATATGTATATCTGTATGCATGGTCTAGATGTACACCTGTATGTAGGTAGACAGGTCTGTTTGTACGTATGTGTGTCTGCACGTATGTGTGTATGTATACATACGTGTGTAGGCATGCACATGCATGGGTGTAGATGTAAACATGTGTCAGCATATGTATTGCAATGTGTAAATGTAGGTGTAAGAGTGAATCAACATGTGCATGCAACTGTACATGTATATGTATAGGTATATGTATACGCATATACATCGTCTACGTACCCAAATCCCCCTTGCCGGGGGTAGCTCCTGCGTGCAGCTGGCGGGTGGCCGTCCGCAGATGGTGGCCGAGGTCGCGAGCGCCAGGTCCTGCCTGTCTGGCTGCCCCGGCCGTCCTGGCTCTCGCTCTCTCTTCTGCAGTTCTTCGCCCGCCCCCCCCTCCTCCGCCCTCCTCCTCCTCCTCCTCCTCCTCCTCCTCCTCCTCCTCCTCCGCCCTCCTCCTCCTCCTCCTCCTCCTCCTCCTCCTCCTCCTCCTCCTCCTACAGTTGATTCTGTCGCTGTGCCCCCTCCGCCGGCCCACGCTTCAGGGGCAGCGTCGGGGGGGGGGGGGGGCGGGCGGTCCCGGGAGGGACCCCTCGATCCCCAATCGCCCACCAATCGCCCCTTCCTCGCCATCGGGGCCTTGGCCCCCACCTCAGGGGCGGAAAAGAGGGGGGTGATGACTAGGGGGGGTGGATATCATGGCGTGGGCCATGATATTTCCCCAGATCTCATGGCGCCTCTTCTTATTTCATTACGTCCCTGGCCCCCCCGCTGGGCCGCGCACATGCCGCCGGTCATGATTTGCACCCCCCCTCTTGGACACCCCCCTCTTGGCCGCTCCCGACCACCTCCTCCCAGGACAGGAGCGCGCGGTGCGGTGCTATCGGGGGCCAATCGCCGATCTATCGGCGATGCGTCGCCGATTCCAGGTCGACACTTCCCTACCTGAGACCTGAGCCGGTCCCCCCCTTATTCCCTCCCCCCGAGCTTGTATCATCGCTTGCCTGCGTGCCCGCGGAGGCTGAGAAGGTAGCGGGGTGTTCCTCGCCCCTCTTCCATCCGATCCCGTGCTCGGTATTGGGTTCGCGCTCCAGAATCTGTACACCGCCCAGTTTGCGGGCAAACGCCCAGCGCTGCGCGCTCCCGGATATCCGACGATGTTTTTTTGTTAGATGCGCGGCCCAGAGGTCCCGACCCACTCCTGGAGGGGTAGTTTCCCGCGGCGAGCCAAGGGGTGGAAGTGAGAAGGAGAAGGTCTTCTCAGAAGGCGGCGGGGCTTCCGCGAAGCCCTCGCGCCTTCTGAGAAGTGTTCTGTCTCCGGGGAAGGCTTAGGAAACATCTCAGACGGCCGGGAGAGCATTCTGGAAGGCCCGCCCCTTCTCACTTCCCTCCCCGGGCTCGCCACCGAAGTTTCCCGCCCCGATGCATTTCTGACTGCTCTGGGGCCTGGTCACGTACGTTACCAGCCTGGAACATATCCCTATCCCTATGCTGGGCATCTCCTCATCACGATGCCAATCTTAGGGATTCTCTTATTTTTTGAGGGCGCATCCCTAAGATTGTCATCACTTTTTGGCATGTCAATCTTAGGGATAGGGATATGTTCGAGGCTGGTAAGTACGAGCCGCAGAGGCCGAGATCGAGAAAATGCGCCTGGATTGAAAGCGTGACACCGTCGGAGATCTGAGCTCATGTTGACGCCAAAGTTCGGCACTCAGCTTCCCTCAGAGCTCACGGGCTTGTTTTCCACCAGCACCACCATAAGTTGGAGGGGGGAAGGAGGTGGAGGATGAGGAGGAGGAGGGGGACGAAGCGGAGGAGGAGGAGGAGGAGGTGGAGGAGGAGGAGGAGGAGAAGGAGGACCCCCTCCCCCTCCTACTTATGGTGGTGGCGCAGTGGTGGTGGTAGCGGTGGGAAACAAGCCCACCAAGAGCTCCTCCGCACACGCTGCTCCGAGCTGGCCAGGCCTGCCATCGGCTTGCAGACTAGGTCGGCACCCGCTGCGCCTCATGATACTTGCGCTCCTCCGACTCCGACCGCGAGGGCAATTGCGACGATGGTCACGTTTTGAAGCTGGCGGGACGACCACGAAATTTTCACAACGACGACAGCATTGACGATGTGTTGGCGTTGTGGCGTGCCTCTCCTCCGACCGCCCATTTTTTTGTGACGGGGGTCCCTGGAGATGACGGCACTTCCTAGGATCCAGCTTGCCGAGCCGTTGCTTGACGGGCTAGGGCCGGGAGTGCCCCCATAGGTCGGAAACGTTGAGCAAACATCAGCCGCCGCGATTTCTTTGCGACGCCCTGAAGACCTGAAGGGGACGACGACGTCTTGACGGCGGCAGCGCCGCCGCGTCGACGCCCATGAGGGCCGCCTGATACGATCCGATTCGATGCGCGGATTCGCCAGGTGGGTCAGCGATTCCGATGTGGCTAGATGCGGTTCGATTCACAGACGTCGGCGAGGGCCAGCCGCAGCCAGGCGCGGCCGTCCGACCTCCAGTCAGCTCGGGACGACTCGCCGGCGATCCTATCCGTTGCCGATCTGATCCGGTCCAGTGAAACAAGGGCTCCCAGAAACGGAAAGTACGTAGCACCCCGAAAGTGCGGATAAGAGTGAGGGGGCGGGCGCGGGCGACGCGGGCGTCGAGCCGGCGGACCGCGTGGCCCTCCTCCTCCTCCTCCTCCTCCTCCTCCTCCTCCTCCTGCTCCTCCTCCTCCTCTTCCTCGTCCGCGTCCTCGTCCTCATCGTCGTCGTCGTCGTCGTCGTCGTCCGCCTCCTCCTCCTCCACCTCCTCCGCCTCTTCCTCTTTTTCCTCCTCCTTATCCTCCTCCTCCTCCTCCTCCTCCTCCTCCTCCTCCTCTTCCTCCCCCATCCCGATCCCCCCCCTCCTTTCCGTCGTCGTCGTCCTCCTCCTCCTTCCCCTCCTCCCTCCTTTCTCGTCGTCCCCGTGAGTCCGCCCCTCCTTTTCCTCCTCGCCCTCGTCGTCGGCCTCCTCTTCGTCCTCGTACTCGTCGTCGTCGTCGTCGTCGTCGTCGCCGTCGCCGTCGCTGTCGTCGTCTTCCTCCTCCTGCTCCTCGCCCTGCTCCTCCTCCCCTCCTCCGCGGCAGCAGGAAACGGGATTGTCAATGAACGTGTTCACACAGAGCCCCGCCGCAGGCGCCGATGTGCTGTTGTAGAGTCAACGTGGGCCGGATCGGGAGAATGGCACGAGGGCGCTTTCCCAAACCAATGCGAGCAAGCCCGCCGCAGGCGCCGATTTGCGTGCTCTGTCAAGTTCAGCGCGGGGGGGATCGCTGGTGGGCCACCCGGAATGAATGCAAAAACAGCCCGCCGCAGGCGCCGAATTATTGGCCTGTTCAGTGAACGTAGTTTGGGTCGCGGGTGGGTCGCGGGCTCTCCACCTCCACCTGGAAGGAATTCAAAAACAGCCCGCCGCAAGCGCCGAAAATTTTGATGTGTACACTGAACGCGGTTTGGGTCGCAGGTTCCCCACCTGGAACGAATGCGCAAGAAGCCCGCCGCAGGCGCCTCCGTAGTCATTTTGGCTCAAGCCGTTCTGGTTCAAGTGAGGGCTTCACACGTGGACTCGGGCACTCTACGTTTCAAGACTGGGTTGATCCAGAGGCATGAGCGACAGCCCGCGTGCTTCTTTGATTGCGAACTCTGATGCTGCTTCATTGAAAGTGAAACTGGGTATGGTGGAACTTCTTCAAGACAGCAATGCCTTTAAAGCGGCTTTTGCGCGCTTTGCAGATGATCCACTCGACGGTTGGAGTGAAGATAAGCACAAGTACCGCGGGAAGGAAGGGAAGGTGATTCAAGTATATCGCCAGGATGCGACAGTCACTATTGCGTTTCATACCGATACGTCCGATGATAGTCCGCACCCAGCAGAAAAGTTCAATTGTTGTCGCTTCGCGAATCCCCACCAGCCCATCCAGAAACGATGCCCAGAGGAATTGCCTCGATCAGAGAAGTGGGCAGCACACAGAGGAAGCCATTATGAGACATCTTGGGATATCTTGAGCCATCTTGGAGGTCATTTTGGGCTCTCCCAGACGCTCTTGGAGTCATCTTAATCCGTGCCCCCCCCCAAGAGGCCTCCATGTGGCTAAAACCTGTGTAGAATCAATGATTAGGCATTCTCGCCGAGGCCTCTTGGAGCATCTTGGGTGCATCTGGGGGGGCTCTTGGGGCCTCTTGGGGGTCTCTTGGGGGCCTCCGGGGGGCCTCTTGGGGGCCTCTTGGGGCCATTTTGGGGCCATCTTGGGACCTCTTGGGGCTTCCTGGGCGCTTCTTGGGGCCATCTTGGAGGAGATCGATCAAACAAGAGGGGGGGTTTAATTAGCGTCCCCCCTCGGAAGCCCCTAAAATCGCCTCTTGGACCCCTCTTGGAACGCTCTTGGAGTGCTCTTGGGCGCTCTTGGGGCCGTCTTGGGGCTCTTTTGGGGCTCTCTTGGGGCCCTCTTGGGCCATCTTGGAACCATCTCCAGGCCTCGGATGGCCATCGGAAGCGAAAAGGCGAGAAAGCAAAAATCATTGATTTTCCTTAGGTTTTGGGACGATTTTGGTCTCTTCGGGGCCTCCTTGGGGAGCTGTTTGGCCACTTGGAGTTATCTTGGGGCCGTCTTTGGGCTTCTTGGAACCATCTTAGGAGCCATCTCGAGCGATCTTGCGCTATCTTGAGCCATCTTGGAGCTCATCTTGGGTTCTCTGAGGCGCTCTTGGAGCCGTCTTGGGCCATCTGGGACGCTCTAACTACCCGCGGCCCCCCCCGTCCAGGTCCAGGGGAGGGGGTAGGGGGAGGGGTAAACCCCTCCCCAAGGGGGAAGAGGGAGGGGTGGAAGAGGATCTGCTCTAGACCACCTACGCCCAGAGGGCTGGTGGGACTTTCCTTTCGAAGCGGTCGCAAAGCAGCTAACGGTAGAGACGCCCCGGCCCGTGGAACGAGGGTTCGTGGAGCTTGTGCAGGACGAGACCGCGTTCAAAAACTCATTCTCCCGTTTCGAAGGTGATGACCTGAGTGGTTGGAGCGAGGAAAAGCACGCGCTAAGAGGTGAGCTGGGCCGCGTCGCGGTAGTGTACGATGACTACACGGTGACTGTGGTATTTGATTACAAGGGCCGTTCGCTTGATTTCCCATTCGAAGCGGTCGCTAAGCAGATTAGTGTGGATCGTTATGATGGCGACCTTTTTTTAGGGGAAGTCGAGCTCATTAAAAACGAGACCGCGTTCAAAGCTGCCTTCGCTCGTTTCCAAGATCAATTGAATGGCTGGTCAGAGAAAAAGCATGGGTTTCGTGGGCGACGTGGCATTGTGGTGCGGACTTACGGGAACTACACAGGGACGATCTGCTTTGACACGGGAGGTTCGTTTGATGTTCCTTACGAAGCAATCGCACGACAGGTCGGAATCATGACTGAGCAGGAGGTAGTGCAGATTTCTGGATACGAGGGTGCCATTGTCAAGGCATGGATGGCCCAATTCCTGAAGGATTTGGAAGACCAGACGGGATTTGATTGCTTCGACAACATGGCTTTCCATCCGACGGGTTCATCATTCCGCAAATGTTGCCTGTGCTTGTTCCTAATGACTTTGATCCCATTCGCAATGACGGTCTACGTCATTTACCTCACACTAGATGGGCCAACTGGGACTATGAATCCAGAGAAGTTGTGTCAACCGAGCCAGGGGTGGGAGGAGTGGCCAACAAAGCTCATGAACAAACTAATTGGTGCAGCGCTCCTGCTATACGTGTATTTCTTCCTCACATCAAAATCAGCACTTGCGGATTCCAAGTCGATCTACAGCATGCTAAGGGATGGTAAGGTTCTCAGCATTATCCGCAAGCCAGTCTATTCAGCAATCGGGCTGATTGCGAACAAGATGGCACTTGCTCTAGCTGGGGTCGCCTCAGTCGTAGTGGTCTATTACACGGACAACCCTTTGGAGATCGTGCTGAACAGTTTGGCCCTTTTCTTCCTGTGCGACCTTGACGACGCCCTCGTTGAAACGAAGGACTACCAGCGATGTGCAGGGACAATGCGCCTCGCAATCAAGAAGGTGGAGGACGAGGACAGCACCGAGGACGCAATTGTGCCGTACAGCAGTTTCAGTTGTAGCCTTAAACTTGCAGGGGTGCTCTTGTCTTTGAGCGAGGGCTTGGTGAGTCTTTCTCCACTCTACATTGCTATTTGCAAGTACAGTTGCCCCACATCGCTTGGTAATCACAGCGACCCCGCCTGCGGTGGTCGACTCAGCAGCGCCCGTCACTGCAGCCGCATATGGCCGACTCAGGCGGCCCAAGAGGGCCCCGAGGCAGCCCAAGAGAGCCTCAAGACGGCCAACGGGAGCCCCGGGGACCCCCAAGAAGGCCAACGATCGAACCCCCGAAAAGGCCCGAGATAGCCTCCAGAATTCCAACACCCACCGAGGCTTTCGAGAACCCCCAGAAGCTTGGAATGGCCCTTCTCTTCTCGGTCCGCTTTTTTGCTGCTTCTTGAAACCATTTTGAGCTACTTCGCGGGCGCTTGCATGCTTGTAGCTGTGAACTTGCCAGGCGCGTTGATAGTAAGTCCGATTCTAGCGCACCTGCGGCGACCCCTCGAGTTTCAAGTTTCAGCCGTTCGAGTTTGCCGGCTCCCGGTTTCAGGGAAAATTTTAGCCGGCCGCTCGGGCCCGAGGGTGTCGCCCCTCCACGATGTCGGCGCCGAGCTTGCAAAGGTCGACCTTAGTCCACGGAGAGAAGGCTCTCGCTCCGCTCCGCTCTGCACCGCTCCTCCGATCCTCCCTGGCGGTGGCTGCGCTCCCTGCTTGCGCCGCGGCTGCTGTTGCAGCCTTCTTCTCTATTCCTCTCTCGTCCCTCCTCCTCCTCCTCCTCCTCCTCCTCCTCCTCCTCCTCCTCCTCCTCCTCCTCCTCCTCCTCCTCCTCTTCGTCCTCAGATTTTCAGGAGGGACAGGAGCAGGAGAAGGGGCCAACGTGCTGGCATCGTGCGTTCTTAGTTTTAAGGCATCTCCAAGGGCACGCCAAGATTTTAGCTTGGCCAGGCCAGCGTGTCTGAAGTGTTCTGCCTTGCCTGGGCATCCTGCGGGGGCGCGCCAAGCGTTTAGCTTGGTCAGGCCAGCGTGCCCGCGTGCGCTCCGAGGACGGCATGCGTCGTTCTCGCCTTCTCCCGCTCCAGAGCGTCCAAGCCAGAAACTTTGCGCCAGACGGTGCGCAAGCATATATTTATACATATAACGGCGCACCGGGTCCGGGGGCCCGGGGCCGGGACCCCGACCACAAATGTGGGCCCCGGGGGGCCCGGAGGCTCGTCGGACCGCCGGACGCCGTCCAAGATCGTTCGCAGGCGGCTTCGGAACGCTCTCCGATGGCTCCAGATGCCTTCCAAGACGCCTGTCATGACACCAAGAAGGTCCCAGAAGCCCCAAGACGCTCCGAGAGGCAGCCCAAGAGAGGCCCAAGAAGCAAAAATCGTGCCATTCCTATGGGAAAACGTATATGTTTCGCATGTTCGCCTCTTGGGCTTTCACCGCGTCCAAGACGGCCCAAGAGGCGCCCAAGACCGCCCCAAGACGGCCCAAGAAGCTTCCAAGAGGGCCCCAGGACAGCCCAAGAGGGCCCCAAGACGGCCCAAGAGGCGCCCAAGATGGCCCAAGAGGGCCCCAAGACGGGCCCAAGAGGGGGCCCAGAGGGGGACCACGAACCGCAAGCTCGAGCCTTCCGCCCCAAGAGGCCGCCAGGAGGCCCCAAGGAGGCCCCTCAAGAGGCCCCAGGAGACCCCCAAGAGGCCCAAAGGAGGCCCCGAGAAGCCCCAAATCGGCCCCCAAAATGCTTCGAACCTGCTTCCAGGAGGCCCCCGACAGGTTCAGAGGCTCCCGAGAAGCTACGTCAAACTCCCAGCGAGCGGCCGGACGAGGCCCCCCACAAAATCACAAGAGGGTTCCAGTATTTGTATCCTTCAGCGCTCTCTGGCCTTTTCCCCCCTGCCCCCTTCCCTGCGACTTTCGTTGACTCAAGCTCGCCTCCTAGCTAGAACCTAAGCGCGCGCGAAGCGCGCGCGTGGTTCTAGTATATATATATATATATAGAGAGAGGACGGCAACAATGATTGGTTTTCCTTAGGTTTTTGAAGGATTTTGGCTTCTTGGAGGCCTCCTTGGGAAGCTCTTTGGCCTCTTGGAGCCGTCTTGGGGCGGTCTTCAGGCATCTTGGGTCATCATCGCCCTTTCGGGCGACGCATGCGGCAGTGCTTTCCTGCGCTTAGGAGAGCTGGCTCTTTTACAGGGCTTCTGAGACTTCTGTGCATGGTTCGTGCCACCTTGCACCACTCTCAGCGGCTGTCTGGCAGCATCTTGATGCCATTCCGATGCTCCCGTTGCTCGCCGAATCGAGCTGGCATCCTTGCCAGCCGACCTGCTCCGACCTGCAACGGCTGACAAACAGTGGCGACTTCCCAGGACACTCGTTCGCTAGCTTCAAGGGGCTCAGACCAAGGGGGCTTGCTTCCTCCGCCCTCCCTCCCCCTCCCCTCCCTTTCCTTCCCTGTTCTCCACCTCTCCCTCCTCCCTACTCCCACCTGCAAAACAATGTGCTGCCAGGTCGTCCGAATGGTCGTCAAGCTTGGCGCGTTGCCGCTTGTTTTAATCGATGGCAAGCGTGTGCGCGTCTTTTTTCCGTGACACCGCGATCAGCAGTTTGCCGATAGTGAAGAAAAATTATCCCGGCAAAGCAACCTAACAGCGATGTGTAGAAGCATATCTGAAAGCATTCCCCTTAAGATTCAGATGAAAATCCAGTTGTCGAATGCTGCTGTTCTCGCAGTCGTAGTCGCATTCGCGATGACAGTCGCAGCGGCAACGGCAGTCGCAGTCACAGCCTCAGCCTCAGCCTGCCTCCTCCTCCTCTTTCTCCTGCTCCTCCTCCTCCTCCTCCTCCTCCTCCTCCTCCTCTTCCTCCTGCTCGTCCTCGTTCTCGTCCTCCTCGTCTTGCTCGTCCTCCTCCTCCTGGTGCTCTCTCCTCCTCCTCCTCCTCCTCCTCCTCCTCCTCCTCCTCCTCCTCCTGGTGGTCCTCGTTCTCCTCCTCCTGGTGCTCTCCCCCCCCCTCCTCCTCCTCGTCCTCCTCCTCCTCCTCCTCCTCGTCCTCCTCCTCCTCCTCCTCCTCCTCCTCCTCCTGGTAGTCCTCCCCCTCCCCTCCTCCTCCTCCTCCTCCTCTTCCTGGTCGTCCTCGTTCTCGTCCTCCTCGTCTTGCTCGTCCTCCTCCTCCTGGTGTTCTCTCCTCCTCCTCCTCCTCCTCCTCCTCCTCCTCCTGGGTGGTCTCGTTCTCCTCCTCCTGGTACTCTCCCCCCCCCTCCTCCTCCCTCCTCGTCCTCGTCCTCCTCCTCCTCCTCCTCCACTTCCTCCTCCTCCTCTCCTCCTCCTCCCCTCCTGGTACTCCTCCCCCTCCCCTCCTCCTCCTCCTCTCCTCTTCCTGGTCGTCCTCCTCTCCTGGTCGTCCTCCTCCTCCTGCTCGTCCTCCTCCTCCTCCTGCTCGTCCTTCTTCTCCTGCTCCTCCTGCTCCTCGTCCTGCTCCTGCTCGTCTCGTCCTCCTGGTCTTGCTCGTCCTCCTCCTCGTCGTGCTCTTGCCCCTGCTGAAAATGTGGCCCAGGAATGGGAGTTCTGGGAAGTCGAAGAGCACGAAGTTGCCTACAGTTGGCTACGGGCATTCAAAATGTGGCCCGGGAATGGAGTTCTGGGAACTCGAAGAGCACGAAGTGGCCTACAGTTGGCTCCGGGCATTCAAAATGTGGCCCGGGAATGGAGTTCTGGGAACTCGAAGAGCACGAAGTGGCCTACAGTTGGCTCCGGGCATCCAAAATGTGGCCCGGGAATGGAACTCTGGGAACTCGAAGAGCACGAAGTGTGTGACTGTTGCATCCGGCCCTCCAGAATGTGGCCCGGGAATGGAGTTCTGGGAACTCGAAGAGCACGAAGTGTGTGACTGTTGCATCCGGCCCTCCAGAATGTGGCCCGGGAATGGCGTTCTGGGATCTCGAAGAGCACGAAGTGTGTGACTGTTGCATCCGGGTATTGAGAATGTGGCCTGGGAATGGAGTTCTGGGAAGTCGAAGAGCACGAAGTGTGTGACTGTTGGTGAAAAACGAGCCCGGCACCTGCCGCCCGGCAACTCCCAACACCTGCCCGGACCCCCCTGTGGAGTGATCTGCTGCTCTCTTTTGATCCCACTAGAAACCTATCAGTCTTCGCTGTTAGGTAAAAAGCCCGCCGCAGGCGCCGAAGTTTTGGCTTGTTCAGTGAACGTGGTTTGGGTCGCGAGTGGGTCGCGGGTTCTTCACATCCACCTGGAAGGAATTCAAACACAGCCCGCCGCAGGCGCCGAACATTTTGATGTATACGCTGAACGCGGTTTGGGCCGCGGGTGGGTCGCAGGATTTTTACGTGGGGCGAATGAAAATGAAGCCTGCCGCAGGCGCCGAACATTTTGGGTGGGTCGTGGGGTGGGTCGCGGATGGGTCTCGGGTGGGTTGCGCGTAGGTCGCGGGTGGCTCGCGGGCGCGGTTTGGGTCGCGGATGGGTCGCAGGTTCTCCACCTGGAGCGACTGCAGAAGAAACCCGCCGCAGGCGCCGAAAATTTTGGGCGTGTCGCGGGGTGGGTCGCGGGATGGGTCGCGGGTGGGCCGCCGGTGGGTCGCGGGTGGGTCGCCGGGGGGGGGGTCTCGGGGTTGGTCGCGAGCGGGTCGCGGAATGGGTCGCGGGGGGGTCGCGGTCGCGGGGGGGTCGCGGGTGGGTCGCAGGGTGGGTCGCGGGTGGGTGGCGGGGTAGGTCGCGGGTGGGTCGCGGGGTGGGTCGCGGGGTGGGTCGCGGGTGGGTCGCGGGGAGGGGCGCGGGTGGGACGACGACAACAACAAACAACAACAACAACAACAACAACAACAACAGCAACAACAACAACAACAACAACAATAACAACACCACCAACAACAACACCAACAACAACAACAACAACAACAGCAACGACAACACCAGCAACAACAACAACAACAACAACAACATCAACAACAACAGCATGAGCCCGCATCGAGGAATTACACGTCAGCCACGCACCCTGGGACAGTGAATGCGCGTTCGGTTCAGCCCCCTTCACTCTGACAAACGGCTCCACGATTGGACGCAGAACCAGAACCATAACCAAACATCGGCGATGGAACCAGGAGACAGATTGTGCCAGAACCGGCCAACAACATTGAAAAACGGAGCGGGTCAAGAAACGGTCTTACCGTTTCCAGGACCCACTGAGAAGAACTAGCATAATTAGCGCCCACACCGACAGCAAAGCCAACTGTTAAGCTCCCTGCGCGCAGCCGATGACTTTCGTGTTTCCAGGCCGCCGCGAGGCGAAGGAGAACGAGAAGGAAGACGAAATGGAGGAGGTAAGGGGAGGCGGATGAGGGGGATGAGGCGGAGGCGGAGGAGAAGGAGGAGGAGGAGGAGGAGGAGGCGGAGGAGGAGGCGGAGGTGGAGGCGGCGGAGGAGGCGGAGGCGGAGGTGGAGGCGGAGGAGGAGGAAGAGGATGATAACGCACTGCCTTGGCGGTCACCGCGCAGGTCAAGCTAGCGCTGGGTGAGCACATCAGACTGGGGTCAAGGATGCCCCTCATGCCAGCAAAAAACGACCCCGCCACCACCCAGGGGATCACGGAGCAGGCACACAGGCACAGCCCAAAAGCGGGCGTGGCGAGAAAGCGACAGGAACGCAGGTCAAGGCTGGGCCTCCATAGGCCGTAACCGTAACCAAAGCGTTTCAGGGTCAGAGGCCTGCAGGGGCCTGGGGGTTCGAAGGGTCCTACTTCCAGGCCTCCCCTCGTCAGCAGGGTGCCGACCTCTGAAACATAAAGTCCTGTTACGCGCTGCCCTATCTGACATCTGATGGAATTCAGGCGGGCGGCAATCGACAAGGAGGTGGCTCGCCACCCCAGTGGTGTAGATAGAAGCCACATCTAATAC